AAACACCTCTGCCCACCCATTGCTTCCCAAAGGAGCTCAGAACTCAAAGGCACACACTTCGGTGGCACAGGGCGCTCTTCCCAGCTGAGCCTGTGTTCCGCAACCGTTCAGGTGTGGGGAGTCTTGCATCCTTCAATACCCTCCCGGGATCGTGGCCCTCAGTCAGCTGGCACGAGGCATCGGCTCCTCTGTGTGTCCCTGAAGATATGACACATATCCCACTCTATGTATAAAGGGCCTTAAGGATAGTGATGAAAAAAGTTTGAACCAGTAGCCATTGCGTATGAATTCCCACTCAGCTGCAGCAAATGACTGACAGTAGCTGGGGCCCAGTTTCTTGGTTTCTGAATGAGGACGAGAATTCCCAGGCAGAGACTGACATTAAGGAGACAAGCGCTATCAGTCCTACAGTAACTGGCACAGTGCAGCTTCCTAGTACACACTCAGCTGTGACCCCAGCCCACCCCATGAGACATTTACACATGGTCCCTGAAGGCAACTGTGCCATCCAGACCCCAGCCCTGTGCTCAAAACTCCACCAGCGCCTCTCATAGGTGAACTCACGAATGAAGCAAATTTCCACTAATGTCATTTTTATCACACTAGCACATGAAATCAGAAGGAAGAAATAGCAGCTAAGACAGAAAAAAAAAGGGATGCGCTGTAAGATGGTGGGCATAGGGAAGTCTGGACCAAAATGGCTTTGGACACCTAAACCTATGGACCGTCGTAACCTTGACAAAGATGCCGTGGACAAGAAAACCCTGCAATTAGAGCGAGTCACTATTCAAGGGGGCTCTGTTCTCGCTGAGGGAACACCGCAGTCCCCGAGCACAGATGACAAAAATCACGGGAAAGAAAACTGTGATGACTGACTTCAGGAAAAGAAAAAGATCGATGATGATGGGCAAAATGGGGGACAGGTCCATTCTGCAGACGTTTGAGTCTGAGTTACCTACAAATCATGAGCTGAAGTACAGTGTTTACATCTTAGAGTGTTTTTCCCCCTCTTTTTTAGAGCACTGAACTATCCAGTGCTTGGTTGTTACATACAGCTAATTATTCCCAAGCTGCTGGTATTTTGCATCTATATATATTTACTTTGCAAGTGTTAAATCATTCAGGAAGAGAGGAAATTCACCATATTTACTTATCTTTGCACATAAATATAAAGACATGAGCTGGGAAATTAAATGCCGTGCTGCTTTCTTTGCGTCACCATCACCGTATGGGCGGGGTAGAATGGAGCTGTTTCCTTTCCCAGACTGAACCCATCTGTGCACAAAACCAGGGCCCATCATGAGGTTGCAGTGGGAACTGGCGTGACTGATGTGAAAAACTGAGCTGTGGTTCAGGGGTGCCAGCCTGTGGCTGGTTATATCCCTGTAATGTCCTCACCTCTCAGTAATAGCAGGCAGCTCCCTGACATGAACATGATTGCATTTAAATGTCAACCCCCAAAAGATGAAAGATGACATGAAAATGCTCCAACGTATGTATTTCTTCACTATAGAGCCAATCACACAGTCGGCTGAATACATTTCCAGAAAGTTCTGTTCATTGAACACTACATTTGACATCAAGACTTTTTTAGAGAGCGTTGAAAGAAAAACAAAAGCAGGTTTTTGTGTTCTAAGAAAGGAAACATTCATATTTGCCAGGACAAAATGTGTAAAAGGACAAATTATATTTTAAGGGGAATGAGAATTTCTAAGCAATGTCACCCAAAACTAGAATTGTTTTCCTACATTATTTTTAGGCAGGATTTCTTTTGTCAGGGGTGGTAATGAGGGCTTGGTAAACAATGTCCTTAGAGAAAAAAAATAAGGAAAAAAACATGTATTTTTGAGTTTGAAATAAACATCTAAGTTTCCAGACACAGTGATACGCCATTTATACAATTTTTTGACCTACCTAAGGGACCCACAGGTCTATAGTAATACCTTTTCTAAGTGATCTGCGGTGCCATAAGCTTTTTAATTTTCATGTTTTGATAAAAATAGTAGAATTTGTATTACATAAATAAATTGCTTTCAAAATGCTAACTTTCTGGCTACTGAAAATAAAGTTGGGTTTTCTAAAAGTGGAAAATAAGTAGGTTGTAATAAAATCTTTAGTAGGGGTCTGAGAATTTTTATGGCCCCAGAGTGTTATGTTCTTTTTGTAATTTATAAAGGAAAATTTTCTTAAATTAATTATATATATATTAAGTAGAAGAAATAAGGAATGCACTAAAGTTTGGATTATTAGCAGTGGTATGGGTATAAATGACATTTTAAAATGGCTATTATCATCTGACTCTGCAGAATATTTGTCATAAATGCCTAAGTGAATGTTAATGAGTTGTTTATCATGCACTAATATTAACTTTCTTTCCCCAGATGCAAAGAGTTTAGCTGAAATGCTCATGAGGTAAGAACAAAATCTTACCATCCCAGATACGTTTAAAAGAACAATTTCCAATTTGCCTTGATGATGTTTTTAAATGACAGTCTGAAATTGATAACATATTCCTTTTGACATCTAATTTCCATTCTATGTACCAAAATATCCATGTTGGATATATAAATAGCAAATAATATATTTTTATGACTGCCATGGGTAGTTTTGTTGTTGATTGGGCTCAACCAATAGAGTATTTCCAATTAAACTGGGAATACAAAGGCACATTATAACTGAAGAGCTTTGGTTTTGTTTCCACCCACATACGCCACCTTTGAGGTTAAGCCTTCTTCCTAACAGTTAGCCAAGTGAAGGAAAACCACAAAAGGAAATACCCTGTTTCCCCGAAAATAAGACCTAGCTGGAAAATAAGCCCTTGCATGACTTTAGGTGCCAAAATATGGCATCTTGGCATACTGAATATTTTAAGCAGAAGGAGTTTGTGGAAAAGGCACCCTTCTCCCTGAAACAGGTCATAAAACCCTCATGTGAGGGGTGCGTGCCATCCATATCCTAGAGAAATCATGCTACAGCTTATTCTCTGGCTAGGTCTGATTTTGGGGGGAACATGGAATGTGGTTCCCTGTGCTCTCCCAAGGCAATGGGCTGATCAAGCAAGATTCCCCTTGTCCTCAGCTCCCATGGCAGCTTCAGCGCCTCTCTCCTAGGGCACTCACCAACTCCTGCTGCAAATATCTGTTCACTGCCTGCTTTTGGAGGTGATAGCCTCCATCGTGTTAGCACGATATGCTAACATCGTGTTAGCAGCACCCAGCGCTGTAGTCGCCCCACTCATAAATGCTGAGCAGTTAGATGACTAGGGCTAGTTGAATAAGTAAGTAAATGTTCACATCTAGAGAAGACACCCCCGTATTTCCATTTTAAGCTTTTTGTATTGTAATGATTGAACCCAACATGAAACAGTATAATCTGAGTCTAGAACCAGGTAAGAAAATGTCAGGGACCTTGATGGTGAATTTGACGTTGCTGTTTTGGAATGCCTAATGTGAGAAAGAGAGAGGATGGGGTTTGGGCTCTCATCCCACCTCACCACGGCTGGCTGTAACTTCCTCCCCCACCTTTGCGTGTACAATGAGTACTTTTGTTCTTGTTCACAGAGAGCCCACATCCCATATCACCCGGATCTTTAAAGACCTAAGGCAGAGGTCACCTCCCATGGGCCCAAGAATTACATTTCCCACAGACATCTTTGTTTGGTCATACTATGTTTCAAAACAATGTGAATTGTGGGCGAAAGACATGCAGAAAGCAAAGACCTGAAGTATTTAGTGTGCGCCATTAGATGATCATTAGCGCCCTTTGCCACGATTAGGAAGATAGGTGTGCAGGGTACAGACTTGTTTTTTCTCTTTTTCAGGTAGGGGTTGAGGGATGTTGATGAGAATGAAAAGACTTATATGAATCATGTTGAATTTCGGATGCTTTTTAAGCATCCAGTGGAAGTGTCAGATAGCTGGTAGCAGGAATCTGGGGCCCAGAGGAGAGCTCAGAGATGCCAATGGCCTGTGAAGTATCTTCTTCATAATCACATCATGCTACATCAAGCTTGCATGAGAAGATTATGAAAATCCACGTGAAATGCCTTGAGGCCATACTCTTGTGAAAGTCTATACTTGTTCTTGTTCACTAAGCAAGTATTAGGACATTCTGTGGTCACATGGAAGCATCCAGACACACGTGCACGCATGTTGAGCAATTCTGACAAAACATCAGGGGGAAAGAAAGACAAACTCATTTGATTTATAATAACTTATTACCTAGTAAAATTAATTTTCTCCTGTAGACTTAAAAATATGAATTAACTGATGCCATTTTAAAATCAAGAGATTTCACATAAAATTTTGGCTTTCTGACTTTTCTTGAAAATGCTCTGGCCACACTGGGTATGGCCATTTGATAATGGCTAACCGGAGCTACATCCAGCGCCCCCTTTAGACTGGGTGTGACTTTTGCTCAGCACAGCAGGGCCCTGCCCAGCCTACTTCACTGATTGGTACCCCAGCCTGGTTCCTGCAGCCCTCCCAGAGCATTTCTGGCCACTTCCTCCTTCACTCCCCAACTGTACATAATTCCTCAGCCCAAAGCCCACGACGCCAGAGTCTGTATTTTCTGACATGTTCAACATTTGTTTAGTAAGGATGATTTCACATTAGCTTCTTTGATGTCCTAGAATGCATCCCTCCCCCTTCTCATTAGCCCCAAGCAAGACATTAGAAAGCATCTTCCTTGTTAATAGGGCAATTACTGTGGTTGAAAGACTACCTGTTGATTTGCACAGGAATTAATAATGGTATTCCCAGTTGACAGTTGCCAACATGAAATTAGAAACGGTAAAAGTAGTAATTACTCCCAATTTAGGCAGCTGAGATGGTATTTCTCCAAAGGGTGAAAGTGACTGAAAAGGAAAATAATTTCCAAGCTCCTCACATAGGTGGATTTTTGTGGGATTAATTTAGAAGTAAAAGCGATACTTTTAATCATGAAGGGTCAGTTGCATCTGAGTCTCGCAGGTTAACAGGCCAAGCAACAACAGACCTTGTCACCTACCTGTGAGTTTAGGGACAGCAATATTTTGAATGTGGCCTGGAAAATCTAGGCAAACCACACCCACTGGTGCTGAGAAGCCTATGGAATTGCTGTCTGGATCTTTGCTGCCACTTTCTTCGGAAGCTGAGGACTTAGCAACTGGCGCAGTGAGATCATAGAACCATAGGGCCTACGCTCTAGATCTAATGCTGCCACCAGCTGGTTTGGTGACCTTGGGTATGTCATTCCCCCTTTCTGTATCCAACTTTCCTTATCTAAAACCAACACTTAGAAATTGTTCCTAGCTTTATCATGCTGTGATCTTGGTGGCAATAATGTGTATTTTCCAACCATCTTCTACAAGGAAGTCTCAGTGAGATTGGCTGTCCCAGGGCCAGACAGGCAGATGTCACTGTCGGACAAACACAGACAACCCGGAGCCCTCCAGGGACCTCCCACGTGGCACCATCCCCCATCCCTGGGCTTCATGCTACTGGACACTCATCTCTTTCACCCAAGCCAATCACCCCAAAGAAAGGAAGAAAGAAAGACTTCGCCCACCATGCCCAGATAGACAGGATTTTTCTATTATATGATAAGCAAGAATCATTTGTTTTAAAATACCAGTCTTCTAAGGTGTGAGACTGGCCTGTCCAAAGGCGCTAACCAACATGCGATTGACATCCGAGGACCAGTATGAGTAAGAGGTGGTTGTAAGAAGAAAAGGATGCAAGCTGAGAGCTGAAGTTAATTTAGCTTTTTAGACATTTACATTTTGATTCATAGAGTATAAAAGTACCCACCCAACTATTCCAATGAGATATCCTGATAGACCTAGTTATTTCATACCTATTGAATGTTCCATGTCATATTTGGTGGGGGGTGATGTGCAGATGTCTTCATTACTTTGTTTCTCCACAAACCTGAAGGAAATAGTAAGACTTTAAAGAATTGTAGCAACTTTACGTAATTTACTGGCTAAGCCCAGAAATACCGTCTGCTGTGAACCAGCATCAGCTCTCTGTCATTTTAAACAAGCAACCAGGTGGCAAACAGTTGGTGGATTATATTTCAATAATAACTAACTAGTGCATTTAGCACGATCCTATATTACGTGAAAGATGCAATTTGTTTTCACAGTGAAAACATTCAGAATCTTGTTCCAGGTCACAAACGAGATTTATTTAAATAGTTTGTTTTGTTTTGTTTTGTTTTTTGAAGCTTAGCTGCTGTTCTAATGACCGTTTGTTATAATTTTGGAGACAGCCTTCGCAGAATAATAGATTACATAAAATATGGCAGCAAAGATTAAGAAAAGAAACAACTTAGTTGGGACCTAACAGCCCTTTGAGAATGAGAAGCATGTCATTGCCCCAAAGCATAGCCTCTGGGACCCGTCACTGAGCTCACACTGTGGCCCCAGAACAACATTAATTATCAACAACCCTCAACAAGCATTTATTGAGCACCTACTTTGGTCACATACTGTTCTACGTTGTAAGGATGTATGGGGAACAGAACATGAAAATATTCCCATGGGGCTTATATTCCAGTGGGAAAGACAGATTATACAGAAGTCAATTAAATACATGCCAGGGAGTATTAAGTGATAAGGACACAAAATTAAGCCGAGAGTGGGGAGAGGCAGTGTGAGGGGTTCCCACCCAGGGCCAACCGGGCTCCATAGAAGGGAGAGAGCCAGCCACATGGGTATTGCAGTGAGGGTGGGGGAGTGTGTTCTGAGCAAAGGGAACAGCCAGTGCAAAGGGAGGGAGGAAGAATTAGCCCCTGAATCTCAAAGTTTATTGGGCCATTTTCTTACCTCCCCACTCAGGGCTTTGCAGCAATAGTCCTCGGAGGAGGAGTTTACCTCCAGTTTTGATTGTTCTTGCTCATAAAGTCTAATCATATTCTGAGTCTCTGGGCCACTTGCAGTGGCACACAGCAGTCATTTAGCTGGCTTCCTGTGTCAATCTGCCAGCGGGCCCCTTATTGTTAAGTATAGCCTGCGCTTGGGTTCATGGCTGGTTAATAGAGCAGCTGCTGACTGCCTCATAACTATTCATGATGAGCAGAAGGAACTAGCTCACACTTCTATTTTTGGTGCAAGGACAAGCTCAAGTCCCTAGTGAAGCTTCTAAACAGATCTTTCAGATATTCACAAAGGAGTAGTTTCCATATGTTTCTGTGGGAATAGAGCTTCTCTAAGCACGACGTAACTGTGCCCTCCCCGCCCCCCAAGTCACCAAAATGTTCTTCATTGTATACAAGTATTTGAATCTTTGCTGTAAAAAAATAAATGAAATAAAATAAAGCGAGAACTTGGTTAAGTAAATAATTTAAACGCGTGCACAGACCATGCGAAAAATTCAGGCCAAAACGTTTGAATCTGGGCCTTGCGTAATTAGCATGATCAAGCTTCACAACCCAGTTACTCATCTGTGGAATAGGGAATCTGGTTCAAGATCAAGCCCTAGGGAGCAATGCTGCACCTTGCATTTTCACGGGCTGCTTTGTTTACACTCAAATGAAAAAAAAAAAAGGGCAATTATGAAATATTCAGAATATTAACATGGAATTCCCTGTGCAAATGGCTAAAGGGCCTCTTGAGTGAATTTGACCTTCAGGTTATTAACATTCTTTCAGCCACGTGGTTCAAGAGTGCCAGGTGGGTACTAGACTTATTGGGGGAATCACTTCATAAATTACGTAAATGTCTAACCACTATGTGTACGCCTGAAACTAACATAAAATAATATTGAATGTCAACTGTAATTTTAAAAATAAATGAATAAAGAGCGGATGAGTTCTCAGGGACAAGAAAGGACCTGGGACTTCTGGCAAATGTTTGGTTAGAGCAGAAAGCCCTTGAGAGGTAGCATGGGTACCCCCTTTATTGTCCCTTAAATGTGACTAACACAGTGATAAATCATCATGGAGCATACAAGGCTCCAGAAATCTTACTAAAAACAGATTTTGACAATTGTTGAGCTGGATTGATGGGTGCCATAGATGATTGCATTGATTGAATTATCTGAGTGACCACTGCTTCTTAGAGGGTGTTTCAGGAGACATTTTTAAAAATATTTTTAAAATTTTTAAAATCTGCCCAATTCTGGAAAGACCAAACAGCTACTCTTCTAATGCAGATCACTAACTAAAGCCTTTATCAACTTTTTTGTATTTTTGCGTAACACGTAGATTTTGTTTCTTTTTTTTACCACAAGCTGTAACTGAATTCGATTATACCATGCCATTTTACTACCTATTTTCATTTAATTTCAGCAGACAGCTCACTCTAAGAGTAATTTTCTGGTACACAAATTTTGAGATAAAATTCTTACAGTAATTGCTTTTTTTCTATGCTAAAATGCAATATCAGTTAGGAACACTAAACTAATGTCAGGGAAGTTAACAAGGCTTATGATTGGTTACCAGCCCAAAAATAGAACCACTCCAGCTATAACTGCAAATCCATTAGTAAAACCCCCATCGGAAGAATAGCTGGTGTCTAGGCGTCCTCGCTTACCATCACTAGAATGGCGCCTGTCTGGCAAAGGAAAATGATGCTGGTTTAAAAATCACTCTTTTTCACTTAACTTTTACACAAGAAGTGGGAAATTCCAAAGGTCCTATTGATGGATATAGAACAAATCTTCATTGACAGTTTGTGTTTTCTGAACTTCACAACTGACTACTGAAATATAATATGAACACATACCGTTGAAATGAAGAGAAAGTTCTCCTATCATGTGCTCCTCCCCCACCCCCTAAGAGATTCACATAGATAATATTAGATTATATTAGATAATATCTAATTATTATTGGAGAATAAACCAAGTTGGCGTACAAGCATGTGTTGGCATGATGCAACACTGAACTGCATTTGCTCATTCATCCCCCCTGTTGTATCCCCAGTAAGAATACCCGGACTTCCGATACCTTGAGCAAGCAACAGCAGACCCTGAGAATGCACATCGACATCCCCAGAGCTCAGCTTTTGATAGAAGAGAGAGACACGATGGAGACCATCGGTAAGGTGTCACGCTTGCGATTTTACGCAACATGGCTGCTACAGCTGTGCCCTCTCAGCCCAACGCTGCGGGGTGGGAAAATGTTAGCTAGGAGAATGTTTTGAATGCTACCTGAGCAAAGAAGTTAGAATGTAGAGCACTGTTAGTGAGGAGAATAAGTACCAGCACACGTGGAGGAAAATGAACTTACATACACCTCAGAGGTCACCCGACATAGGAGTTCCCCAACTGTGATCCACTTTGGGTCTTTCCTGGGGAGGCTGTTGGTGCTGCTCCACAGAATAAACACCTGCAATTGAATAAACCAGAAGATCCACACACAAAACCCCTGTCTTGGACATCCAGTCTGTGCTCTCCTCATCAACTCCAGTAAGGCCTTCCTTAAAGAAAATATTTAAACTCTAGGTAGCACCTAACAAGCTAATGTCTTGGCACAGGTCCCCTTTTCTCTATCCCCCAGCAGCCCATAAACATTCTGGAAGGTTTCGTCACAGTGCTTTTGGGGAGCACCCAGTTTCTTTGTTCCACGATTGCAAAACAGACACCTGGAAAGTTTTTGAGACTTGTTTGCCCAGAACCCAAGTGTCTTAATCTCTTCTGGCCTTTTTCCATTCCAAGTCCACCATCCCACACTTCTTACCTGGATCGTTCTATTCATTCCAGAATCAGAAACTTTATATTTCCATGTAATAACGATTGGAAGAATAGCTCATATTCATTGAGCGCTCTCTAAATATCACATATTTTATGAGCACTTTATGTGCATTAACTTAACCCTCCCAACCAATATAGGAAAAAGGTATGACCAGGTAGGTAACTGGGGCATGGAGAGGTTACATAGCTTGAAGCTTACACAGATGGTTAGGAGCAGAACCGGAGCAAGAACCCCACGGGCCACCTGCTTCCATATCAACAGGCGATTTCCCAGACCTCCTTGCCTTCTAAGTAGCACTGAGCTTCCCAGTACCCATGGAAACAGACTCTGAGGCAGGTTGCCGAGGCTGCCACTTTTCAGACTTTGCTCTGTGTTTGTTCTGGAAAGTGTTTGCTGGCACTCAGTCCCAGGGCAATCCTTCCCTGTGGCTTGGCTAAAACTACCCAGCTCCTGGCATGTACCCTAGACACCTCCTGCCAGGAAGGCCGTGGTAAGTGGCCGGCTTGGCAGGACACCGCCATTGTCCCCTGCCACTGCCCTGCCTTATTATGTTCTAGTAGAAAAGCAGAGATGTCTTGACCTAATGGCTCATAAATTCTAAGGCCTGGGCTGCCCTTATTGGACTCAAGTTTGCTCTGGGTGTCCCAGCACTTACAGAAGGTTGGTCAAGTCCAATTTGGCTTTCCATCAACCAACTTTGGTGAAATATGACCCATGTTGTGTGAGGGGTCACCACTCGTCCTGAAGCACACAAGAGTTTATAAGCTTGCTCACGTCAAAATAAGGCACCATGTTTTGTTTTTGATCATCTTTTTTTTTTGCAGTAGTATTTCTGGGATCCCTCTTATTGAACTCAATAGATTGGGCACTAAAACTAAAATTTACTTTGAAACTTCAGTTTGAAAATCAAAATGTAACTCCTTTGACCTTATAACACGGATATGAAATTTGCTAAATGTCCCTCACTAGACTTGTTAATGCTCCTCCCTGTAGCTGTTAACGTAGGTAGCTAGGCACATCCTGGGAGAGATGAATGGCCTTCCAAACCATCATTTCTGTACGGAATCACGACCCTTCGCCAGAGATGCATCGCGTTCCTGGCAGGATCATCTGTCACCAAGAGTCATTTACCTCCTGGCAATACGTGACAGTTGGTCGATGGCATTTTCTAATTATTGGGGAAGTAGAAATGTGATGCTTTCAAATGCTCTGGGCTCAGGCTACAAGGATCCGATATGAGAGTGCCATTAATTTCTACCCAGAATGAATGGTCGACCTCACAAACTGACAGGCACCCGATATTTCCCATTAAAAGTTTGTAACCTGGCCCCACAGATAATCTGGTCTGCTCTTAGCAGGGCTAGGTGTTAGGAACCAAAACACGTCAGTATTGTTCATGAAAAACAAAGATGGATGTCGGGCCTCGGATGCCCGGTCTCACTGTAAGAAACCATCTCTGTGGAAAGGCCACCCTCTCGGAGGGGCGAGTGAAGGCTGCGGGGCCAGCTCCCCCGGTCCAGCCCTTCTCCAGCTGCAGCGAGCTGTGCCACACAGCGGGATGCCAGCAGACACCTTGGCAGCCTTCACTCTCTTCTCTGCCAAGAAATTTTATTCTGAGTTCAAGAGGCTTTCCTCTCCTGCCAGAGCCTGAGTAATTGGATTTTATAAGGTTCGTTCTGTTCAGAGCCTTTTTTGGGCACAGAAGTCTCGCTGTGTTGTTTATGACTTTCACATTACCGTTCCGTGTCAGGGCGTGCTATAGCATAGTCCCTGCTGACTCCTAAACTCATAGGAACATCATCCCGGGTTACAGTGCTTGGAAATTTATGAAAAATCCATAGATGCTAACCAGAGTTTCCCTCGGAGTAAAAAAGCTCTTGAGAAAGAGTGAAAAGTATCACAATCAAGTAACGCAAAATCTTGACACAACCAAATAATGACACGCAGCTCAACCAACGGCTCCCTTTCCAAGCACACAAATGCTCCCCACTCATCCGAACCCAGGCTCCTGCTTCTTGAACCTCCGAGTGCCCACCTACGCCAGTAGGACTGGGACTCTGACAAGTGAGTCAGTCATTTCGAGAAGTCAATTAAGGGACGCTCTAAAGTAATTAGAGCTCAGAAGAGGTGGGAAGAAAAGGAACATACCTCAAACCCTCTAAAACAGAGGAATCCATAAGCTCTGAAGGCTGGCCCTTGCCTTTTCTCCCCCGTGCCCCTCAGCCCCAAACATTTGCCAAGTTCGGTGAGAGAGCGGGACACGGTAAGGACCACTGTGCTGGAGTTTTTCTAGCACTCAAACAGAGCTTAGTTCAAATGCAGCTGACGTCACTGGTGAGGTCCCTGGTGAGCTTTTGACAAATACATAAATCCCAAACGCTATTAAACGGCAGCTGCAAAACATGCCTCCTCAAATCAATGTTCCCTGAATGAAAAGGCCAAGCCTGGGGAAGAGCAGCGACCTTTCTCCGTGGCCATTCTCTTTAAGCCGTGCTCCAAAGCTAACCCCCAAGCATAATCTTCTATTTTGAGGATTCGGGACCAATTCTCATACAGTGCTTGAATTTTTAGTTGTTTTGTTGCTTTAGATAAGGTTATACTTATTATTTAGATTACTATTGTTATTATTATTGTTATTATTATTATTTAGATTATTTCGATGATTATTGTTGCTATCGACAATAACACAAGTACTTCCGAGAGAAAAGGCCGGGGAGCCACTTAAAGGGGGATGACCGTGTTTGCTTTCTGTGTCCCTGCTGCCCTGTAGACGACCGCTCCACGGTGCTGTTGACAGATGCTGACTTTGGAGAGGCAGCGAAACAGAAGTCTCTGACGGTGACGCACACGGTCCATTACCAGTCAGTGTCGCAGGCCACCGGGCCCTTAGTGGATGTTTCAGATGCTCGGCCAGGAACGAGTGAGTGGTCCAACAACACTTAAACTGGGTGGGAGTGGTCAACGGTGAGCACACACTCACATCTCCGTCCCCATCAAACGCAAATGCAGGCCTGCTCAGCCCTATGCCTAAGACACAAAGAGGTATGATAACACCTTTAATTGGGACGATGAGATTTAGATGGTGTTTGATCTAATCTATTATTAAAACCATGTCAGTTGGAGCCAATTAACTCTTGGTATTGGTTTACGATGAAAGTGCTAGAAATTTCAAGCCAAGTTAATTTCTTTTTATATTTAGACAACACAGGAAGAGGGGCAGGTAATTAGCGTTAGTGTGTTTCTGCTCTGTGCCAGGACTGGGATAGAAAGATGATGTCATATCTTTTGCAACAACCCTGCAAGGCACTTACTTATACAGTTAAATAGCATACCCTCTGTTTTATAGATGAGAAAACTGAGTCTCAGGGGAGTTAGGTAAACAGCCCAAAGTTGTGCACGTCCTATGTAGTGAAACCAAGATTTAGCTGTCGCTCTGTCTGTCCTTGAAACTTGTGCTTTTGTTCTGAACACAAACTGTTTGAGAAAAATAGAACTCTGGCTAATCTGGGGATTATGTTTTGTTTAGTTATTAATCGATGCATCTATAATATATGGAAATTAATTACTGCGATGCAATTAAACCCCCTAATGTATATCTAGAGCTTATTAATTAGGTATTCTTGTTCCTTTGTAATTGAAATTGTTCCTAAATCTCTTTAAAGGCTGAGAAATTAATGTCTCAATTATTTATCTTTCTGGAAGCTTTGATGTTTAGTTCTTAAATCTCTAATCACTCTCTTTGCAAAAATTTATATTCTTAGAGTGTTATAATTAGAAAATAATGTCAAAAGCTATTTTTCATAGTTCCTGACTTGTAAGGCTTTCGTGAAATGCTCAGAGCTTCATGAAGCAAACTGGTTGATTCTTAAATAACATTGTAATATTCAGGAAAACAGTTTTAACAGTTATTGAAATTCACTTGAAAACCTGTTTCCAAGAACATGCCAAAGAAATCTTTTATTTCTCCCTCCTGTCTAACCTCACCTCCTTCCTTTTTTGATGATGTCGGTACATTCTGAAGACATAAGCGGGACATGAGTGAAAATTCGCTTTGCAAGGGGGTGTGTACGAATGAGGGCCGTGCTCTTAAAAATTGCTTCAGTGTCCTTGACATGCTCTCCAGCCACTGGCTTTTCCATTGTGATCTGCCCGCTCCTGATTCAGGCCACGTCAGGACTGTACTGATGGGTTTCTGAACCACTTCTTGCTGTTAAGTCAGGGAAAGGTGATATATCCCAGGGGACTTGGATCCATGGGTCCTTGCCTTTAGCATCCCTTGTCCCAGTCAGCATGGAAGTTAATGGAGACATCAGCAGGAGACTAGGGCAGAGACAGAGAAAATGGGACACATGCCCCAGGTAGGCTCCCAACCTTTTCTGTGCGTCAGAATCACCCAGGGTGCCTGTTTCAAACACCCAGAACAGGGCTCCAGCCCCTGGGACTCTGACGCACCTGGTCTAGGGTAGGGCCCAGGAACCTGCATTGTAATGGACAACCTGTGGTTCTGATGCTGGTGGCCCGGACCCCTCCTCACTGAGAAGCACTTCCCCGTTAGACCTGTGTCCTCCGTGTCATGCTTTTAGCGCAGCAGCGCAGGGTACTCCCACCTTGCCATGTTCACAGCACATCAGTTCTGTCTGCCAGGTAAAAAGAACGTGCATCCCCGCTTCCCTTTCAATGTTCGACGAGTGGAGAAATGCACAAAGGCGAGTGGTAAATAGTCAAAATGAGAGGGAAGACCGTGAACCTAAAACACTGGGAACTTTCCAGGTGTGGGATCAGCCCCCTAATAATGGGAAGGTTGGCTTGATGGCATTCAAAACATCACCAGGGACATGAGTCTGAGTCACGAGCAGAAACTATAACCAGTGAGAGGTGAGTGGCGGGAGGAAGTCACAGAAGGGGCGCGTTCGTGTCTCTCAGGGCTGTAACACTGTTAGCGGGGTCGGGAGCTTAACTTTATGGATGGCCCAGTGCTCGGTGATGGGGGGACATAGTGAATAAGATGCAAAAAGACATTCATCTCATTCCAGTGAAGGAAGTTAGACATTAAACAAGGACCTAATGCATTTTCCGTTTATCAATGTGTACTCGGAAAAAATAGAACAGACTGATGTGATGGTGAGTCAGCAGGGGTGTGGGGACGCCGGGAGGGGCTACTTCAGGGGGAGTCTTTTGGGAAGATCTCCATTGAGGAGAAGGGTGACAGCCAGGACCGGGCCTGCCAGGCAGGGGGGATAGAAGGGGAAGCATCTATGAAATGCTGGGGACAGCAGTGGTACTGGGGTGCGCGAGCCACACGGAGGGCGGTAAGGGACAAGCAAGGGAAACAGCCAGCCAGGCCTTGACGGGTCTCCTCCGCCTCCGTCACTCGTCTGCATCTCATTCTGAGCATGTTGAGGTCTCACTTGGGGATCCGATCCCCCTGAAATAACTACAGCCCACAGAACGGTGCTTCTTGCATCTGTCATGAACTTCATTAAGTAATGTTTTCAAACATTAGGCACATTGACTCAAATTCCTGCATCAGTCTCTAGTTTGAAAAAAATAGAGTTATTCATTCAGCATCTGCAGAAACTTTTCTATTAGAAAAGAAATATTTGGGATCATTTTTCATCAAATATTCTCCCAAAACTATATTGTGAGGGAGGGACTAAAAGCATTTCAGTTTTTTAGAAGTAGAAACAATAGGTGCCTGCCCCACCCCGCCCCCCAGAGGATTACCACAGGAAGCTGAAGCCAGGCACCTTCTGAATCCCCGCTCTCTGGTTGCTCCTTGAACCACAGAGCCTGTCACCTCTGCCCAGGTGTGACACCAGTGTCACTTCAGCCCCCTGGAGCAGGTTCTTCTCACTGCAGTCTGGCATATGTGCCAAAATTCATTTAGAGTCTATTTCATCGACTACAAAGAACATTATTTTTCTGTTCTAATTATGTTAAGACTGTGTTGTCATTGTAGGAATTCTTTATTTTTAAGGAGAGCATTTAAGACGGGTTGTTTGCACAATAGAATGACAGCATCCTGGAAGTTATGTGTCTCAGCACTTTGAGTTTGCCAAGACTTGCAACGAATTCTTATTACGAGGAGGGGAGAAGTCGCAACAATTTGCTGTTTATCTCTTTCAATCTGTGAAAACACATGTCCGGGCTGTGTCCACAGCTCTGCTCCTCTCCCTGTCTGTCCTGTGGGTTAGGGTCCACTTGAAAGCTGGGACCCTATTCACGTCCTTATGCCCAGCTCCAGCTGCAGATTCTACACACAGGAGGCAACCAGTAAATACATTTAAATACCAACTAATTGTCAAGTTCCGGAATCAGAGTAAAGGGGATGGAAAAGAAAGGATGATTTTTCTCTCTTTGTTCTCCATTCCTGGAGACATCTAATTGGCTGAGTGTATGTGTCTCCTCCCCCAGTTAGAAATGTTCCTTTTAATTTGTACACAGTCTCCACCCAGCACACTTTGCAGAGACTTACCAATGCGATCATTACCCAGAACTTAAGGCAACTTCTCTACTTACAAAATTTGCAAGGATACGAAGACACGTGAAGTGATAAGTATTAAACATGACCTGGGTTTTTTTTGTTTGTTTCTTGTGTTTTGTTTGTCATATTTACCTGGAAGTCAGCCATTCATTTATTCATGCAAAGAGCCTTTACCCAGCCTACTGATATACGCAGGGCTGCACCAGAAAATGAACAGAACACACTTCCCGCCCTTACGAGCTTTATTGATTAGCTCAGCTCCTTTCTGCATCCCAAGCATTCTCAATCATCCAGTTTTCTGATTTTCTTTCTTTTTTTTTTTAAATTAGTTTCAGGTGTACAACACAGTGCAATAGTTATACTTTTTACCCCTCAAAGTGACAACCCCCACCCCCAATCTGCTGTCCCACTCTCCCCCCCCCATATCATACATATCTATTACAATTCCATTGACTCCACTCCCACACTATACTCCACATCCCATGACTATATATATATTCAATTATAGTTGACATATAATATAATACAACATCAGCTTCAGGTGTACAGTGCAGCGATCAAGCCTCTACCCCACCCATGAAGTGGTCTCCCTAACAAGACATGTGACCATCTAACACCCTACAAAATGTTTACAACATTATTAATTATATTCCCTGAACTGTCTTTCATATCCCTGTGGCAATATTGTGGTTACCTATCTATGCTGTCTAATCCCTTCCCCTTCTCCCTCATTCTCACCCCCCTCCCCAACTAACAGCCATCAGTTGTTCCTCTATATCTCTGAGACTATTTCTGTTTACTTTGCTCATTCATTCAGTTTTTTAGATTCCACATATAAGTGAGATCAGATGGTATTTGTCTTTCTCTGACTGACTTATTTCACTTAACATAATAGTCTCTAGGTCCATCCATATTGTTGCAAATGGTACGATTTCATGCTTCTTTATAGCGGAGTAATTCTCCATTGTATAAATGCACCCCAGTTTCTTAATCCAGTCATCTACCGATGGGCATTTCAGTTGTTTCCAAGTCTTGGCTATTGTTAATAGTGCTGCAATAAGCATAGGGGTGCATGTATTTTTTCAAATTAGCATCTTGGGTTTCTCTGGATAGATACACAAGAGTGGAATTGCTGGGTCATACGGTAGTTCCATTTCCAGTTTTCTGAGATATCTCCATACTAATTTCCATAATGGCTGCACCAATCTGCCATCCCACCAACAGTGCACCAGGGTTCCCCTTTCTCCACAACCTCGCCATCACTTGTTGTTTGTTGATTTATTGATGATAGCCATTCTGACCGGAGTGAGGTGGTATCTCATTGTGTTTTTTATTTGCATTCCTCTAATGATTAGTGAGGTTCAACATGTTTTCATATGCCTGTAGGCCATCTGTATGTCCTTTTTAGAGAAATGCCTCTTCACATCCCCTGCCCA